CCGCTGGAGGAAATGAGTAGAAACGAGGAAATTGATTAATGGACAATGAATTCACTTTTACGAAAGGATGAAATAACCCTAGTTACATACAGTTTGCCGGAAGTATACAAAGGAGAACCTTTGAGACTGATAGTCAACAACAAACGAGGAGCATTGATATGAAGAGAAGCTGGGTTTAGAAAAATCCCTTAATAGATTGATACTGGTGTACCTTTTATTTTTTTGAGAATGCGGGTCGAATGGATTCGTAGATTGGCCTCACCGGATATCGCAGGAGGGTTACCTTGGACATTGTTTGTTGAATTGTGCGAAGAAGATCTCGGCTCGCTGTCTTACGACTCCAATGGCTCCGTACTGACCTTTAATCCGACCTGTGACGGACATCGTCAGAGCCAGAAACCATTATTTATGAAAACCTACCAAAACACTAAACCGCGAAATGGTGATCAACTGAGATCCTACTTCTTATATCTCACTTAATGAGGCGTTGCATGATTTAGTTGGCTGATACATGCTTGTACTACATGCACGTAAGTGGATCAAAGTGATGCAAGCAGGGGCGCAGATGTGGTCACAAATTTTGTCAATGTAAATAAACTATAGTATGATCTAGTAGTCCTGGGTCTTGTTACAGCTTCATGGATGCGTGTTTGCCTGTGTATGCAACAATCCTGAATTAGTTGACAATTTTAGGTGCAAAAACCAGCTAGTCTTCTAGTCTTCTCTTACTCAATGGCTCTTCCTGTTCCATTTCCCTCTAATTATATTTAGTAGCCAGAGATAATTCTTACTAACTTTCCAACATTCATTCCTCCCATGGCAGACGTTCTTTATTTTATTACTTTTTATCGACTCCCTGATCTTCCTCTTAGCTGTGAAGTCCCCATATCCCACAAGACTTTAAGATATAGGCCACTATCTGGTGTTCTGTAGCGACCACATGTTCAGCCATTTCCGATTTCTAAATCCATGAGCCTTTGCAGCCGGTTCTGTTTTCTGATAGCCTCTTATATATGGTTCGAGAAGAAAGTA